AAATTGTTTTTTTTCCCCTCCCATCGACGACCAACAAAAACACTCCTGCAGTTTTATTTAAAAAAAACACGGGAAGGTAGTCCACCACTCAAAAGGCAAAAAAAAGCAAATTGACCAAAAAAAAAAAAAAAAGCAAAGATTTTATTTTGTCGAAAACAAAATGAAAAACAAAGGAAAAAAATGAAACAAAACGACACCCGAGAAGGATTTTTGTTGTGGACTTTTTTTTTATTAGGTGGTTTTGGACAGCGGGGATCGGAGATTTATATATATAAATATATATCGGTGAAACTCCGACGAAACAGTTTGTCACAGCCCCTCGTTTGTTGTCCTCTTCTCTCTTTCTGCCTACGGTTTTACCGGGCAGTTCTGTTTGTGACGATATATATATAAATATATATATAAATATATATAGTCAAACAGAGCTGCCCGGTAAACCGTAGGCAGAGAGGGAGAAGAGGACAACAAACGAGGGGGTATATATATATAGGGTTCAGCCTCCTGATGAGTTGGTGAAACTCCTATGAAACAGTTTGTCATAGCCGCTCGTTTGTTGTCCTCTTCTCCCTCTCTGCCTACGGTTTGTAGCTTTGTCTGACGATATATGTGGTTGTAAAATCAACTCATTCTATTTCAAATCATAATGAGACCCGGGTCCTCAGTCTACCCGGAAAACACCATTTGGGAGCATTACCCAGTTTCGCTTACTGGGCTCGCCCTCGAGGCAGCCAAGCAACCAGAGGCCCGACTGGACTCAGCTAACAACTGCTGTGAAGAATAGTGAGACATACCTCCTTATCACTGAGGGATTGGAACCTCTGCAGTTCCTGGAATTGGTGACGCTCCTACCAACCGCACAACGCATCCAACTTCTCCCCTTCTACTGCGAAGAAACAACCAAGCGCCCAGGTTATCATTCGTGTATATGGTACTTTGGTGTGGCTGTGAAGGGTGGGGAGCAGAGAGGGAAAGATGGGTCGGCTACAAAAGTAAGGTGCTGCGCTGAAATGGAACTAAAGAAGCCTCTTCTTGGTATCCACCTAGCACTGAATATGTTGTCTAAGGACCTGAATGATTATGTATGTCTGTCTAGAGTGTGTGAAATCTTCTCATATCGGGCCGGGTTCTGCTAGCTGAGTGGAAACGTAGTGCCAGTGGTGCGTAGGTCCAAGGGGTCAGGCCCCAATGGTGCTATGTTCTCTCTTAGAAATCACGAACCTGGGCTTAAAAAGGGCCATGTCCATGCTATCTAAGCACGAGCATAACACGAGGTGGCCCTGTCCCCAACTGGAAGCCATTTTTTTTTTTCCCCCGCCATTGCTCAGCCTTCGTCCCCCGAGTTTTTTGCAAGGGATTAGGGCCTCCCTCCACCGCTCACCAAATGCGCCGAATGAATCCTCTACTACCACATGGAAAGATGCACGGCCGTAATATTTCTCTTTTGTTCATGTGGTGAGCGTTGAAGTGAGGCCCTTAGCCTCCGGCGGTCTGGCCTGCGGTGTTCAAGCTCGTACGGGGCATTTAACAGTCCCGCTTGTTTGTTGTGGCTTCTGTCATGGCGGCCCTGTCATCGCAGCATCCGCAGCATCGGACCTGGAGATTGCTAGGTTGCTACGGAGTGAGGGGGCTTGTCGGATTCAATCTTAGGCCCTCAGTTGTTAAGGTAGGGCTGCCTAATAACCCATTGGGACCCTATCGGTCAGTTTGTGGTGTCAAGGTGTGCTTCTGGTCCTGTAACGTTTCGCACAAGCGTAGTTGTCAACAATGGGCCATTCGTTTAAAAAAAAAAAAAAAAAAAAAAACCAATGGGCCATTCCGTTCCCTAGTGGAGGCTGTGTTTGTTGTTTTGTGTTTGTTTGTACTCGGAGGACACAAACAAAAGTAGAGTGGGCTGTTCAACGCAGCCGCGCCTGCCCGTGATCGTGCTACCAGTCGAGGACAAACGATTACGTACGTTGAGGCCCTCCGGGCGTACTCGATTGGGTTGGGGAAAGAGAAGGTAGCACCCGCGCCGTGTTTCATCGGTGTTACCGACGACATGCACTTGGCTTGACTTCCGGGAAGGTTCATGATTCCTTGGCAGTAATGGAGTACCATACCAGCGGAACCGGGTTTGAAAGGTACGCCGGAGCAAACGGTACCCGGGACTCTAGAAGTCCACTAGGGGAGCTGGCATACGCTGGACATGGCCCTGCGAATGAAGCACCGGAGAGGTGGGTTTTTTGTCAGCCTAGGGCACACCCCCTACCGTAGTCTAGGCAGGTCTGTGTCGTCGCGAATTGCTTCCAACTCTCCTGCACCCTTCCCTCCCGGCCCGCCGCTTCCCCGCCCCCCTCTCTGTTTGATTGACTTCCCAATGAGCTCTGCCTCTATCTTCCTGGCCCACGGCCCGCCCTCTCGCAGGGCATATACTCCTCACACCAGAGACCTTTCCTACGAAGCTCTGGACGTGAATGCGGTCACATCCTTCCCGGTCCTGGCCGTAATTGCGCTCAGATGCATTGCGGAAAGCGCTGGTGTGGGTATGCCCTCACTTCGAGCCCGGTGATATCACCCGGAATCAGGCCCGGCGGAAGGGCTTTCTCTCGAACTTCAGATTACGCAACGCAAAAGTTGAACCAATTGTTTTGTTGAACCAGATGAACCGCTCGATCGCTGATAGCAATCCACGGCGAAGTAAAGTATGGTATTTGAGTGAAGAAAAAAGACGAAAAAAGAATAAAAAAAGAATTAAAAAAAAGAAAAATGATGAATGGGCAACGGGAAAGGCGGGCGAAAACAATCCCCACGGAAGGAGGGGGAAATTGCCGCTGTCAAAGAAGAGGGTAAAAACTAGGCAATGAATGGAAATTTTAACGATTTAACGATGGAAGGCAATCGTCGAATTGTGAGCCAGTCCCTGAGCCCCTTAATGTGGCGGAAAGAAGGGGTAATAATGACTGGGGGTCTTTGGTCGTAATTTTCCTTTTTTTCCCCATATTATTTTGCCATTTTCCCCTTTCATTTTTCCCGCTTTTTTCCCGCTCGTTTCCCACCTTCCCCGCCGCCGATCGCCCCTCTCATCTCTTCCCGCCGCCCCGCCGCCCGTCGTTCCCTAAGGGGCATTTTTGTTTTCCTTTCTTTTCTTTTCTTTTCTTTTCTTTTCTTTTCTGTTCGTTTTTTTTTTCTTTCTGTTCGTTGTTTTGTCCTTTGCGCTCCTCCCGCCTACGAATTCCGCGCAGCTTCTGCATCCCTCATCCCTCACCTCTAGAGCGGGCTACCAGTACCAATGGGCCCCTCTTTCACCGCAGCACCGTCGGCGCAATCGAGGGTCGTCTTTTTAGGGGCGCCAGGAGGGATCGGGCGGGCGGCGGGGCTGCGCGGCGGGGGGGAGGTAACGCTTTCTTTTTGCCTCCCCCGCTTGGGGGTGGGCGCGGAATGATTTTGATCCACAAAACTTCCACCTACCTACTGTACGGTAGCCACCTCTACCCCGCCCGCCAGAGCCTATCGCGGCGCTAATTTCAAAAAATAAGGGGAAAGAGAATCGTTTTTCCTTCGACGTGTCTGTTCCCGTTTCGCTTTTCTTGTGCTCTATCTATATTCCCCACGAAGCTGTTCCATTCACAGAGTGCCGCATTCGGGTCCAGTCCGGAGTTGTTTGTGGTGGCGGGGTTTGGATGCCATCGCATGTCGTCAACATCGGTAACAGTAGAGCCTCTAGAGAGAGAGAGAGAGAGAGAGAGAGAGAGGGAGGCAGAGATAGGCAGAGCAGAGAAGTGAGACATAGACAGTTAGGTAGAGTAGACAAGTCGGACATAGATAGACAGTTAGTTGGAGAAGGAAGGAAGAATAGGCAGGGCGGAGTAGACGCGAGCGAAGTATAGAAAGGAGTACTGTCCTTGTGTACAAGGAATCTGTTCTCGTTTCCTCATCAGTGTGATGTTTCAGCAATAGTAGTAGTAGTAGTAGTAGTAGTGGCCTCATCAAATCGAACGATTTTTCCGAGTTTGTCTTTTAGGGAAGGGAACGGCTGTTGGTGCTGGGCTGCCGCGTCCTCGTCGGAGACTCCAGGATCGGCGGTTGCGTGGGCAGTAACCATATTTGACTTCGTTGGTCTTTCTCGTTGCTTTCCCTTCCCTTCTCTTCTCTTCTCTCCTCTCCTCTCCTCTCCTGTCTTGCATTTCTTTCCTCTGTCAATTAGGCCGCGTCCGTCTGTCTATTCCTCGTCGTCCGTAGGTGGTGGTGGCTTGGGGGCTCTTCTGCCTGAACTCTGGCCCGATCCGCTCCTCCGTCTGTCGTGAAGTTCCGTTCCTGGGCCGAAGTTTCGGCTCCTCGCTAGCCTCCTCCCCGCGCCTTGCTCTCCATCTCCTTGCTAGCGTCCGAATTGCCTCTCTCACAACTTAGTCTATCTGTCTGTTTGTCGTGCAAGTCTTCGAAATCGTCGGAATCGCCTGGCGGAGAGAAAAGTCGTCGTCGTAGTGTCTGTTCTGAGCTGGCATTCGCGGAAGCTACTGCTCTTTTCTGCTCTTTTTGTTCCCTCTCTCCCTCCCTCTCCTACGCGTTTTCTCCTCCTCCCTTATCCATCGCCTTTGCTCCGCTTTTCTCTACTCCTTTGCCCTATACGCAATTTAGGCAAATGTAGTGGCCGTAGCAAAGCTTGTAGTATATAAGATCCAGAGAGGGTATTCTGCCGCTGGTTTGGTAACGTTCATGTTCAGCATTTAGCAGTTCGCGTGGAGAACGGTGTGGCGACCTCCCCCCCCTCCCCTCCCTGTCATCCCCTTTTCCCCGTTTCTTTTGCCAGTGGGTGTCGGTGGCGATTCCACCATTGCAGCCTGCTGCTGCGGGCGCGGCTGCTTTTGCTCCTGCTCTTTCCAGCTGTCTGCTATTGTTGGTTGGTGCTGCTGCTGCTTCCGGTGTGAAGGTGAAGTGAAGCGTGCGCCCACTGCTGCTTGCTGTACAGAGAGGCGTCTTCTTTTAGCGAGAAGGATGGCCTCTGTTACGGACGCCACCTCCTGCGATAACAATATGATGCCTGTCTCTTTGAATGGCTGCATTAAGAAGAAGCGCCCGCGGTCGTCGTCCCCTGAGCCTGAGACGGAAAGAAAGAGGAAGCTGGCATGCGTACGACCTGCTCCATTGGATATCGGCACCATCCGCCGGCGTTTAAAGCTCAAAATCCAGGTGGTTGAGCCCTTGGTGTCGCCTGTTTCCTCCCTTTGCCCTCCTGCGCAGGACTCCTCTAGCTCATTGTCTGGAAGCGGGGCCGTCTCTTGCGGCGGGGATGTTGAAGACACGGAGTGCAGCACGCCGAAGGGAAAGCAGTACGAGATTCCAGAACCAGTATTACCACCGGCTCCAAGGAAGGCGCAGCTATGTCGGAAGAGATTACGGAGGTGTGCGGGGCCGCTCTTTCAGATGAACGACGACGACTTCGACCACTTCTTCGCGCCGCATCGGTTGTAGCCGCTGATCTCTCATTTGGGAGGACGGTGACAGAGCGAAGCTACTAACAGGGATTGTGTTTGCCCACTTCAAGACGACGAGAGCACACAGGGCAGGAGCAGCGGATCACCGTGTCCGTCAGGCATTATTTGTCTATTGAGAATTATTACGGTGTTGGCATGGTAAGCTAGGAAAAGCCGCGTTCATCCACATGCCACCATCGCCGTCCTATCGGACCATGCTTGATCTGTCATTGATAATGACGATACGCTGCTATGGTTGCTTACTGTATTATCGTCTCTGCAGCTCTGCAGCTCTGCTCTGCTGTGCTCTGGCGCTGTGTGTAAGAGCAGAGGGTAAGCTTGAAGTCCCTCAACTTCGTCTTCAGCGTTTCGACACGGTTATAGATTTGTACTTACCGGTGCGAACCATATGTCGCGTTCTATCTATCGCATAGATAGGAGAGAGAACCAAGACGGGAATCTGTCGAGTATTTGTGGCGGATACAAATGGAGGACCTGGCGTCCCAAGTGGCAAGTACTATTCTTCCTGCAAAGAGCACTGGGAGTTCGTAGCATCGCATCGGTATGTGCAGCTACCGTCTTCCCTCAAATAAAACGTACGGTCATTCTGCCTGTATTTGGCACAACTTTCAGTCCAGATGCAGCGAGAATGACAGTACGTTCTATTCGGGTGAAGGCGGTAGCTCAGAGCGCTCGACGGCGATGGCTCTGGCGTGATATCCTATGTGCGGAGTGTTCCAAAAAAAGCGCGCTGGAGCGGAGTGCATCGGAGGAGTTTTGTGTCGAGTGGTGTGAGGAGTCAGGTCGAAATTTCGTTGTTGTCGAAGTGATCGAAGTGGAAGCGATCTCTGCCGGGAAAACAATTCGTTTGAAGTAACGATAACGATGGCGAGGACTAGAACGGTTTGTTTCACCCGTCGGCTTTTCTTCCTGTACACGTGGCGGTCGCAGATTGCAAGCGTGCCGCGTGGTGGTGGTGATGGGATAGAGAGGAGAGGGGGTTGGAAGTGTATAATTCCCCGTCAGCTTTCTTCCTGTACACGTGGCGGTCGCAGATTGCAAGCGTGCCGCGTGGTGGTGGTAATGGAATAGAGAGGAGAGAGGGGGTTGAAAGTGTACAATTCTCAACGCAGCGTTGATCATGACTGAGACTCTCTCTGAGTCGTTTTGTAAATGAGATGACACGAAACGTGATGTGCTGCTGCTCGATTCGGGATGGCGGTGTCTTCATGATGATTGAACCTCCCGCTTGCGCAAAGTAGTGTGTAACGACAGCGATCTGACGTACGTGTACGGTATAGACAGGGAGGGACGCCCGGTTGGCTTGTGCAAGCTGGTCGTGGGTGTACTACATGTTTGATATTTTTTGGATATAGCCTTAAGGCTTAAACTATTTGATTAGGGTGGGGGCGCAAGGAGTCCCTATCTCGACACCTTCACTTTTCTTTGTACGTTTTATATCTCCTCTCTCCTCAACCTTGCCTTCCCGGAATCCCTTCTTTGTTCTCGCTTCTGTTAGTGTAGCGGGTGCCTGGATTGATTGTTTGATTGGCTGATTGATTGATTGATGATGATTAATTGACGTCTCTTCTCCCGTTATGGATCTACGGGTTGATTATCATGTCAACAACAGCGACGGGAGCACAGGTCTTTAATTTTGCCTTGTTTCTGCGATTGATCATCCGTCTTTCGTTCTCCTCTCCGTTATTCTTTAAGGCGATGACGCGAGTATCAAATTGTGCACAAGGCGATGACTACCACCGGTTACAACTCCTCTGCACGATCGACCATGCTCTTCCTTCCTTTCCCTTCCTCTTTTCTTCACGGCTGTCGGTTGCTGCATGCAGTGTTATAGATAGATACAGGCTTACGTGGGTGCAGCCGAGGAGTGCTAGCACGCACACACGGTTTTAACGTGAAAGCTATGTGGCGAAGGAATTGGTTGAGAGAGATGGAGGGAGAGAGAGAGAGAGAGAGACGGGTTTCTTCACCGCCCGACAGCTGTAGGTAAGGATCACTCTATCAGCAACACTGCCCGACACGGTGGGTTGTCTTTCGGTAAAGTCTTACCACTCGTGTTAACCATTGTGATTGCTATGCTCGTCTGTCCCAAAGGCCCTTCGTAAGTTGTTCACGGTTGTAAGAGCGGCTGACGGTCGGTGGGATGCGTTGACCTGACTCGCACTTCGGAAGTTGTTGCACTTTGATCCTTCTCTCGGTGATTCGGTGCTGTCATGCGCCAGATGTCGACGAGAAGAAGAGCACTGACTGGAGGAGCAGACCGTCTCTGTCCTATATTATTCCAAGGTAGTCTGCGGTGCGACCGTTCAACATGTGATTTGGGGGAAACGACAGAAATGGGAAGGGGCGATCGACAGGTAATGAGAGACGAGTAAAGAACGAAAACATATACAAAAGCGTGTGGCAAATACCGGCAGTGACGCGCACACTGCGTGTGTGTGTGTGTGTGTGAGAGAGAGAGAGAGAGAGAGAGAGAGAGAGATGATTGGCAATGTATGGCAGATGAGAGATGGAAGAGGCAGGATTTGCGTCGTTCTTTAGATATGATGCGTAGACAGAAAGGGAAAGGGGCGATCGACAGGTAGAGAGATGATTAAAGAACGAAAACATATACGAAAGCATGTGGCAAATACGGGCAGTGGCGCGCACACACTGCGTGTGTGTGTGTGTGTGTGTGTGTGTGTGTGCGAGAGAGAGAGAGAGAGAGAGATGACTGGCAATGTATGGCCGATGAGAGATGGAGGAGGCTGGATTTGCGTTGTTCTTTAGATTTGATGCGTATTAGGAAGAGGAGGATAATCGACAAATGATTGCGCAGTATTCCCTTGTAGACAGATGGTTGTTAAAATTCTGACTCGGTTCAGATTTGACGGAACATAAACTGAAGAGCGGAGGGTGGTTGCGCGGATGGTGGAGTCTTTCACATGTGGAGCTTGTTGGGCTGCTCGGCTATCCAGCAACGTCAAGGCTCAATTCTCTCTCTCTTGAGCCCTCTTCGGTGTAACAGATATGGAATACATGTACGGGTTCATGTACGGGTTCATGTACGGGTTCATGTACATATAGCCTGCACAGTGGTGGTATGTAATCGGCGCTGACAAGCCCATATCGAATCGTTAAGAAGCGCGATTGATTGATCGATCGATTGATTGATGAATTGGTAGATGGATTGTCTAGCGGTTGATCTTGAAGTGAGCGGTTCAAAGAGCCAATCGTTTTGCGAGGAATACGTAACTCCTTGTGAACCACTCCGTACTGTAATTGAACGACTCCGTACAGTAATCCAACGACTCCGTACAGTAATCCATAATGGTGTCCTAATGATGAAGATCATCTTCCCTGTAAAATCCACTGTACATGAACGAATACATTTATATCGTCCTCGGATTTGTAGATTGCATCTTTCGCGCATGATTGGACTCGAGTCGATCGAAAAATATTGGCGGCTTAGTGACGAAATCCTTACATGTATTCTGTTCTATGGTAGGGAAGAGTGAAGTCAAGCCTTTCGAGGTACGTAGTACCCTCTGATTCGATTCCATAGGAACCACTTCGTTTATAATGCAAGTGTTGTAGCTTCGCGTTCTAATTTCTTCTATCCTTCATTGTAATCGGATACTCCCCATACTCCCCATACTCCCCTCCCTCCCCCCCGCGCCCCCCCCTTCCCCCTGGTGCCACCGCTGTCGCTAAGTTTCTGTTAGTTCTTTTTGTTGATTGTATGCCCACGGTTCGTGGGGTCAAGTCCTGATGAGCAAACACCTAGGTAATTAGGTATGTTGATGAGTACAGAGGTGCGCGAGCGAGCGAGCGAGCGAGAGAGATCATAGGCTAGTGTAGTCGGCGGTCAGTTGATCAGCGGGAGTTTCTGGTGGCAGGGTGTTGTTTCAATGAAGGGGAGGATGGGTGGAGTTGATTGAAGGGGTTGTAGGTGATTGGTATGGTGGAGAAGAGAGCGCTCGTTTTTCGTTTTTTTTTTTCCATGTCCCTTTCCGTTTTTTTTCATTCCCTTTTGCTCGGAAGCGCAGGCTGACCCAGGTTTGCGTTTCTCTCGATGGAGCTCGGCGCGGCGGTCGAGAAAGACTCGCGGTTGTATTGGATATCATCATCAAGTTGGCTTGCCGACTGGTTCGCCAGAGTTCAAGTTGTACTTACAGCGCTAGCAGCAGGTTTATGCGGACCCGTTCTTTCGACAGCAGTTGCGTCCATGGTGGTTGTAGGACACTGGGGACTTGGAACGTTTAGAACTGGAACGTTTATAACTGGAAAGTGGAGACAACCACATCGGAAAAATCCGTTGGGGGTATGTCAAGGGGGGTGTCGCGTTGGACGTGACGGCTTGTTTGATAAATATGTGGAGGTACAAGGCTGACAATTTAGGAATCTCGGGGCTGTATATATCTTGACTAATGATTCTGGCATGATGTACGTTTTTCATGTTTTTCGTTACGCGCGCGCGTCGCGCGCACACAGACACACACACACGTACACAACACATAACACATACAAATTTGACGCACACACACGAGAGAGAGAGAGAGAGAGAGAGAGTAGGGGAATTCTTTTGGCTTCGTGGAGTCTGGTTGGTGTCGGGCGGTAGTTGCCGTGGTCGCTGTTGAGGAGTGAGAGGAAAGATTGCTTCGTTTTTGCTGCTTCTGGAAGCATTCGCTGTGTTATGTAAGGAGGTAGTCGTTTAGGTAGTACTCCGCAGAGGTATGATGACGTTGCTCTTACATTGTAGTTATCATTACCTCTCGCCTATTGCCGGGTTGAGTGGGCCGTGCACTCGTTCTGGTAGAGGGCTCTTTCCGGATGCTCACGTGTGAGCTCTTTCTATGTGTTACCTTGTTAGGGTGTGTTTTTCTGTGTATGTGAAAATGTGACTGTCTGTGTGCGTGTGTGTGTGTGTGTGTGTGAGAGAGAGAGAGAGAGAGAGAGAGGTATCATTTGGGAGTCTGTAAAGTGACTATTGGTTCTTTGCCTGTGGTTTATTTGACTGTTATAAATAAGGTTGTGAATATGTAAGTACGTGCGAGCTTGCTGGCAACGTCCAGCTGCGTCAGCTGTTCATTTCCGTCTTCCCTCCTTCCCTCCTCCCTCACCTTGCGGCTCTTTGCATTTGCGAAGGTCATTTGGTATCTCGATAGAGATCTATGGTTTGCTGTGAATTGCCTCTTTCATCGATTTCTCGGCATCGTCTCTCTCTGTGCGGTTCTGCTGTCTTTCTTCCCCTTTGGTATGCTGCTGAATGTTTCTTTGCTTTCTAATGTCTTTTTTCTTTTTGCTTTCTAATGTCTTCTTTGTACTGACTGTGACTCTCTCGTTCCTCTCTCGTTCCTCGGGCGGTCCTTGACCGTGTGTGTTTTCATTGTTTTCCCTTCTTTTTTTAAAAGCGGTAGCCCCTAAAATGACTGCGTCAACGATAATTTTTTGTTCTTCATCACACACACACACACACACACACACACACACACACACACACACACACACACAGAGAGAGCCCTTGGAGTACGAGTGGTACGGATGTTCGTCGTTCTTCGGTTCATCGAAGGAACCGTGTGAAATACGTGAAGAGCTTGTCGACTCTTTTTAAGCGACTGGGGGAACAACCCGGTTTGCAACTGGGGGAACCAAGAGGATTGGATGTAACGCCTGAATCTGGAAGTGTTTGTGGAGTGGTGCAGTGATCCATCTGCTTTTCTGCATCACTGATTACAACCCATCCACATTCCCGCCCTTAATCCAATCCGCTTTGCTAGTGGGACTGCTCCCCGGCTGTTTATATTACCAAGTGAATTGAAGTAATTGTGCGTGAGATTTCTTTTTTTTATTTTTTATTTCGGACTGTGAAAGAGAATATTCTGGGCATGAAGTACGCGGTGTTTGCTGAATTTGAATGTTGGAGCTTTCCGGGGGGGCGGGGAGGGGGGGAGGAGGGGGGGGGTGTAATAGATCGTGTACAACGCGGAAGACATTGGGGTGAGCGGGTTCACCTTAATTAGGAAATCCGAAGGTTCAAACTGTCAATGCAAAATCTTATTTCGAAAGTGATGCCGTTAAGAACGTAAGGCAAAAAAAAGAAAACAAAAAATGGAAAATTGCGAAAGATGGAGTCTCGAAATGTCAATTAAATTGAATTAATCTAAATACTATAATGAACTACTATTATGGTGAAAGAAAGCAAAAAAAGAATGCCAGTCGACTCTTTTTTTTTTCTTTTTTTCTTTTTTGGGAGTCGGCCTTCATTTCAAGAGGAACGCCAGGGCCGAGGGCTCACTAGCAAAAAGAGGATTGGATCAAGCTCCTGAATCTGGACGTGTTTCAAGCGGAGATGCAGGAAAGCAGTTGAAGCTCGATATTCTGCACCTTTGCACGAACGCGTCCAGATTCAGGCGTTCAATCCAGTCCCCTTCGCTAGTGGGACCTAGGCCCAGGTCTCTTCTTCCGCACTCCGCCGGGGGCCAAGTGCCACTAGCAGCGTTGAGCTACCTCAACGCCTGAATCTGGACGCTTTTGCGGAGATGTGCAGAAATGGTGGAGTTTCTTGAGCTGCACGTCTCCACAAACACGTCCAGAGTCAGGCGTTGAGGTAGCTCAACGCTGCTAGTGGGACTTGGCCACGGGGCGAAGAGGAGCAAGGCGGGTCCCTGGCGACTGTCCCAACGGCTCCTACCCGTTTCAGTTTTCAATCGAGCCCGTGGGCCTCGCTCCGCTACTCGACATTCTGCATGCATCTAGCCTGCTATCTGGACCGAATGCGTTCGGACTGATCCACGAGTTAAGGTATTGGAATGAATTGTGGATTCAACCGCATTTTGTTTTTGTGTGTTTGTTTTTAGAAGGGCGGTGCCCTTGTGGTATTATCGTCGGACTAACCAGACCAGGTAAATTCAGTCTTTTGTGTCTAATCTTACACCGGGTAGCCTTTTTAGCCCAGAGTGGCCTTTATTTATTGCCTTCAAGGGGGTGGCCTTTATTTATTCCCTTCGAGGGGGTAGCCTCTTTTTATTGCCTTCAAGGAACCCCCAATGGGGGACACCGGCCAGGGGACAGCCGGTAGCAGCAGAGGGACCGAGCATCATCTGACGAGTGGCCAGTCGCTGTGCGTCCCCCATTACCCCCTCGCCCTATGAACATCAGAAGAGACTGCTTTCTTTTTTCTATTTTTTTCTTTTTCTTTTTCCTTAGAGACTGCTTTTCCTTTTTCTTTTGAGGCTGCTTTCGAGACTGCTTTTTCTTTTTCTTTTTCTTTTGAGACCGCGAGTACACGGCCCCAGCCTTGCAGCAAGTTTCGAGGGGCTTACTTGGCACCCGCTACCCAAGAGATAGACCACTGGATTCCCGGATCGGCATCAAGCAGAGTCTGCTATTGCTCGTAGGGGAGGGGCCTGAGGGGGGGCACGGGGGATTGGTCCGCTTTATCCCTGGTGCTACCGGCCGTCCCCTGGCCGGTATCCTGCAGGCTCGAGGGGTCGTAAAAACACGGCTCTGGTATGCTACGGGTTTCCCCGTATGCCTATAGGTAGGAGTAGTGGTAGGTAGTTAGTGTGAGGAAAAATTTGAGAGAAGAGTATAGTTTGAAAAAAAAAAAAAAAAAAAAA